CAAACCCTATTACAATGAATCCAAATCCACAGGAGCTCTGCAACTAGAAATGTCCTTTTGAGTTGTCCCTTGCTGTTATTAAGTACCACTGAGTTAGTTCCTACTCATTACAACCCAAATAGGGTTTCTGAGGAGCAGCTGGTGGGTTTGAACCATCAACCTGTGGTTAGCAGACTACTGTTTATCCTACAGTGCCATACCAGGACTCCCTAATTGTGCCAAAAAGGCTAGGCTTTTAATACTCTCAAGTGCTCCAATCCATCAGTTCCATCACTGTGACCGTGGTTGGGGAGTGTTAGCATTTGTAACTGAGGTGGTTTCTGAAAGGATAGTTCAAGTCTTGTCTGTCCTGCAGGTTCCCAGCCACTGTGGTACAAAGTCCTATATTGAAACCATATCTGCTTTGAGATATCAGTGTCACCGGTGTCAGATTACCCAATAAGATAGTCATGGGCTTACTTGTGCTTACTTACTAATCTGTAGTGAGATTTTTCACATAAAAGAGTGTGCATCTAAGTATGGCTAGCACCTGTCTCTCTCCCAAACCGACTGCACTTCCTACAGAATCATAGTCTCATAACAAATTTACAATCCCTGAAAGGGACAGAGTCAACAAGACCCTTTAAACAAGACAAGCCTTTGAAGCTGCAATACCCAACTTGATGGCACATAAGAACAGCAACAAAGTTATCAAACTCACCACTAAATTCTGAATAGAAAGGATAGTGAGGCTGAAATGTAGGACATGAGCGGAAGCATGATTTTAAAACATAGTAACCCACACAGCAGTGCCTCAGAAGGTGATGTATTTCTGTGAAGATTACAGAAATTACAGCCAAGAAAACAATTCGACACTCAAATTCATGGGGTTGCCATCAGTTGGGGTAGAATGACAACACATTTTTCCACTGCCTTGAACAATGCGTGCTCCAAGTCATCACACGGCTGACTCCATTTCCACTCTCAGACTGTGGAATTAAGGTCACCTTCTCAGAGGTCCAGGCAGTCTAAAATAATCCCTCCATGCCTAAGCCAAATTCCTATCATATTAATTTACTTTATTATCCTGGTCACAGTTACAATTACCTCAGATCACCTTGTTTATGTATTTATGTTTCCTGTTGTTCACTACTATTTTCCTAGCACATAGATCAGTGCCTGGTATTTAAGCAGGGGCAGGTATCCTCCACTTTTTGAAAGTTCCTGTGTATAAAAGATCTACATTAACACCTGTTTTCGCTAACCAAAAGAAATCTGAAGAGGATGTTTGCCTTTGTGAAACTAGCCATCAGCATTTGTTTTTACTAGCAGGCAGTTTAAGAGGCAGTGCATTCCCATGCCGCTGGAGTCTCATTGCCACATTCCTTCCCAGGAACTACATTCACCATCTAAGCATCAAGCAGCCGTAGCTTTTAACTCTCTCTGTGTATACAATATGCTAGTGATATTTTAGGTTTTATATATTATTTGGTAGATTTGGAAGGGTATTTTTTGGGTCTGGGAATATTAAAAAAATATTTTAAAAGCTTCTCTCTATATATAGTAATTGCTTCTTTGCTTTACACCATTTTAGCTTAACAAATATTTCAAAGGAACACTCTACTTTTGGATAGCAAAGGAAATGTGTATTCAGTAATTATTTATTTGACAGAACAAATGCATGCAATAAATGAATATATATGATTTATGGTCATTGTGAATGCATACCACAAATACAGTTCATTACATAATATGTGGGGAAGTATTTATGACTAAAAGGGCTACTGTTCTGTATCTTTAGGAGTCCTGGTGCAGTACTGTGGGATAACACACTGGACCGCAAGGTTGGTTTGAACTATAAGGTCAGTGGTTCAAATTCACCAGCCGTTCCTCAAAAGCCCTATAGAGCATCACTATGAGTCAGAACCTACTCGATGGCAATTAACAACATTCTGAATCTTTTTTATCACAATATCATCAATTAAGCTTTCTAAGGTATTTTTATAACTGAATCTTCTTAAATGTATTGAACACAAGATAGGTGTGCTTCTGTTTCTTATAGACAATATATTTTTCTAAATAACAAAAATATACCTAACTATAACGGAAACATTTTGTCTTTTAACCAATAAAATAATAACAACAAAAAAAAAATGCTCAAAATTCTTAAGAGTAACTTTCCAATTTCACGTTAAAAAGGGAGTCTATGATAAAGAAAGCCTGTATAAGAGAGACAAACAAAAACAAGCTATAAATTAGGTCACTAGACTTACAATAATATTTTTGCAAGAAACTTTTATAATATTTGGCTAGCTTTAAGCTAGGAATATAAGACATCCCAAGAGATTCACTGAGTTCAGGAATTTAAGTTTGGAAAAGGTCAAATGGAATGTCCTTTGCAATTTTGTTGAACTTTTACCGACATACTCAAATGCAGAGCATTCCCTATACCAAAGTCTGTGTTTTAATGACACATTACATACTTTACTTTTGATTAAACAAAATATTAAAATTTTATTTTAAATTGTACCTATTCTATACATCTTCTCTTGTTTGTATTGGGAAATCAATTTATTTTATTTTTTTTTTTTTTACCTAAAATTCTCTTTCAAGGAGTTCTCTACGTCAACTAGTTATTCTAGAAATTCAGTACTTAGAGAAGAACACCAGGTTTAGTGTACCAATACTGGTTTCTGTTGTTGTTTAATGAGACTTGGACTGTATCATGTCTCATGTATCATCATCTGAGTTCAGAGGACAGCCTACCGTAAGTAAGCAGATGTTCTTTCAGGGACAGAGACAGTATAACCGAGACTGATGTCACAATTGTAAAAGCCAAAGCAGGTGAGATCTTTAAGTATGAGAAGAAGAACTGATTCAGTAAAAGAAATGGGCACCCTAACATAGGATGCAGTATAGTGAAAATGATCATAGATAAGTCTTAAAGTTATTTTTAAAATGTATCTGTCATACAAAAATTTAAATAATAACCAATCACTACATGAAACTGATGTCCATTTCTATAGATTATCAGGCAGTTGTCATAACCTATTTTGACATTAAAGTGGAAAAAAAAATCTGGACAAGTAAAAATGGACCCTTAGATGCAGATAATATCGGTAAATATTTTTACACAAACAATTCTATGCTATGTCATATTCTAGCTGATCTTTCATGTCACTCATACAGAAAATCATAAATAATACAGCAATTCAGGGAAAAAAACCCACAAAAAACTCCACCCTAACATGGGCCTCTGCCATGTTCCACACTCACATTTTAACAAATTCACAAAATTAAAAATGTTTTCTAAATGAAATTTCAATAGAATGATTTATTTTACCTGAGATATTATAATAAAGTGGCACTATTACTAGCCTCAATAAAACAAAACAAGTACAGAACTAAGTTAAAGATAGCTTTATTACAATACTTTTTCAAGCTTCAAAACGCATTTATTTATTTGTTGTTGAGTTTAGATCTACTATAATACATTATATTACAAGAAAGAAGCATTTCTGGTTAGCTCTATATTGCCCAAAATATAGCTTCCTAGGAATTGAAGCAACACACATGTAGTTTTTATCACTATATAAAACATTTCTGATGTTTCATAAAGAACAATTTAATATTGCAATTTATTTTATGTTCATATCCTCTAATTTAAATACCAAGCAAAACTGGTTTGTTTTTTCCCCCTATCTTACTAGCTCATGCCTAGAAACTGTCTGTACCCACAAACATTCATCAACTTAGACATTTTTCCTTGGTAGAAAATAGAATTTTGAACGCAAAGAAACCAAAAGAACACTGTAGCTTCCCATTTAAAATACGGCATAATTCTCTTTTGTAGTGGCCAAATCTAAGCCACCTCCTCTTTTGTATAATTGTCTTGAATACTACCTGCTTTAAAAGATACTAACAAAGTCTTCTCAGATAATCTTGCCTCTTCATATTTGCTTATTTAGAATAACTTACAATCCACAAGATTATTGCAATAATGTATTTAACAGAAATCTTGGAAAGTGTAATAACACACTATTTTTCAAATTTAACACGGGCATTCATTACTCATTCACCTTTGGCTCAAAATAACCTACAACAAATTCAATTTATGAAAAGAATTCGTCATCCAAGGTTAGTACCTTAATATAATGAAAATTGATATAAATCCACTGAAGAGATTTAGTCCCTTAATTTGTTGTCCTTGGTTTTACATTTGTGAGCTACTGACTAGCATTAAATATGTTCATTTTCCTCATTGTTACAACTGCAGGAAATTGTTAGAAAAGTATAGAAAAGGTTCTATTTTTCTTCATAAGGCAAACACTACAGAGTTTACTATAAGTTGGAAAAAAAAGTGAATGAAAAGGTATGTGCTGGCTGCTTGGGGTGGGGGGGCAAGGTTCATAAATCACTGTACGTTAAGAGCACGTGCTGAAACTTCATGGTGCCAGTCACGTAATTTTGTGTATTTAGGACTAAAGACGTGAAGGGGTATCTTTTCCCTGTGGAAATAAAAACAAAAGAGTGATAGAAGAGTCATAAGAAAGAGAAAGAAAAGGCTTCTACACTCAATTCATCATGCAGAGAACATGCCTTTCAAAAGCTTAATTTCACATAGCCAATTTATTCTATAGCAAAGATTTTTTAAAGAGCACTTTATAGAGCCTTCATGGAAATACTGACTTTTATGCCCAAAATAAAGAGCTCGCAAGATGACGCATGAATTCATTCACAGATATCTGAACTGTTAGCAAAGCACTCTAAAATGCAGTCTCCTCACTGCATCTTATTTCAGTACTCAAGAAAAAGCCTTAGACATAAAATCCAGAAAAACACTAAACATAAAACATCAATAAGCTGTACATTTAGGTCACACAAAAGGCATCAAAGTTAAAAGCTTAGCTTCTAATTGCAAAGACAAAATGCCATACTGTTACACTTCAAAACCTGAGAAACTAAAATAAATCCATTCATGAAAGGAAAGCATTCAGTTTACCAAAAGATGGAGAACTTACTTTGCCTTCTTTGCACTATCATTTTCAGATTCCTTCACTGAAAAATAAATAGCATTCAACATTACTTTGCTTTTCTTTAACTTCAAAATCACTAAAGCAAGTATCTGTACTCAAAGAAACCCAAAACCACACCCATTGCAGTTGAGTCAAATTCAGAATAATAGCCACCGATAGACAAACCACCTATAAGGTCTCCAAAGCTGTCAATCTTTACAGAAGCAGACTGCCAAATATTTCTCCCACCAAGTTACTGGTGGGCTCAAGCCACCTATCTTTCAAACCCTGTGCCACCAGGATTCCTTACTAATCAATACCAAATATTCACAGAGTCACTAGTGTACTTTGGTGGTGGTGGTGGTTGTGTGCAATATAGTCAGTTTTGACTCATGGTGACCCTATATAGGGTTTCTGAGGCTTGTAAATCATTACGGGAGCAGAAAGCCTCATCTTTCGCTGGAAGAGCAATTGGTAGATTCAAACTGCTGACCTTGCAGTTAGCAGCCTGACTATAACCCACCATGCTACTAGAGCTCCTTTAGTCACTACTAGTACACTTTACAATGTAATTCTAGCTGGGCTAATGTCTTATTTTCAATACTTGTGTCATGCATGGCACAATTTAAAGGCGAACTGTCTTAGGACTCTTTTCCAGTAGCTGTCAATCACTCTAAATATCCTATGGTAAAGAATATTTGAACTCAAGGTCGGTGGTTCAAGCTCACCAGCTGCTCCTTGGAAACCCTGTACAGGGTTGCTATGGGTCAGAATCGACTCAACGGCACTTAACAACAACAACAACAACAAAGATCCTTCATTACTACAATGTTTAGGTCTTTACTTACTATGTTCAGTTCCAGTGATCTGGGCCAGGATCCTGAAAGAGCGAGACTGAGTAGTCCCAGTCCTTGGACGCCAATCTTCAGTATCCTCCATCAGTCTCTTCTTGCTGGCATCACTGTGAGTAGGTATGTGATAAAACTCTGTATTGCGCTCCACAATGTGCTTTCTTGGTGGGCTACGTTTAAGAAGGAATAAATAAAAAAACAAAAGCGTTAAAACTTTTCTCAAGAGGATAAAATATCTTGTGCCAAATAATTTGTAATTTAAAATATAATCCTTGATGTTACTTTTATAAATATCTTCTTTGCTTTTGCATGTACACTAAGTCTCTATTTTCTTTAAAAAAACATTTTTTTCCAATATAAAGTATAATATGTTGTTTTCTTTAATTAATAAAAACAATGTACTCACTAGGTGGTGCAAACAGTAAGCATCAGATGACTAACTGAAAGGTTGGTGGTTCAATCCTACCCTGATACATCTCAGAAACTTGGTCTAGTATTCTGCTTCCAAAAGGCCACAGTCTTGAAAACTCTACAGAGTAATTCTACTCTGCACTCATGGGTCACCGTGAGTCAGATTTGACTTTAAGGCAACGAACAACAACAATGCTAATATGAAATAATAGTATTAAGAATGCATTCAACAGAAAGATTACCGTTTAGGTGGAATTTTCCTTTTAATTGTCAGAAGGAGGCAGCAGAAGAAAGATTTCCAACATGAAGAAAAGGAAAGGAAGAGGATAATAAGAAAAAAAGAAAATTAACTAGAAATTGAAAAGTCTATAGTAGTTAAAATTAAAATCAAAAGTCATTTGAATGTATTTGTATTCACTTTATGCCATCTAAAACATAAATCTGGATTATATGTGTAACCAATAATATAGTACTAGGATGGATTGACATTCACAAAAGTAAATGATTAGGAAAAAAAGTAAATGACCATATCTTCACTAAGCCCAGGAACCAAGAATGTTTTAATACAGACTAAACCTGCAATTTTAAACACAATTTTGAAAAGGGCCAATACTGTTACTTTCTGTAGTTTCTAATGTACGTATGTAGATATGGATATCACTCCTATTAAATAAAGCTGTTAGCATGATCAGTGCAGCTGGAGCAAACCCGTGATATACTACAAACTACTGAAACATTTATCAAAGAACTTGATTTAAATCTCAGCTCTATGTTTTCTTAGATGTGTAATTTGGGGACAAGTTGATCATAATCACACTAAACCTTGACTTTTTTCATTTATAAGACAGAGCTATCACATGCAAACAGAGTTGTCCTGAGAACTAAATATGTGAAAGAAACGTGTTAGCTACATAACAGGAGATTATATGTTTACAAAGAAACATTCATTTTTCTATTAACTAAGTATAATAACTACTAAGTAATTTTCACTGTACATTATTATTTTAGCATTTTATTTCGAGATCTATGGAACATAATAAATATCCCCACTTCAAACTAGGACAAATGCAAACTGTTGGAAGCTATGAGTTTCATTTCTGAAAGAAAAAGAACATGAGCCAACTACATACTGGCACAAGATGAGAGGAGAGAACGTGTGCCAAATGCAATGAGATGTGAGTGGCAACTCCTGCTAAGCATAACTCACTGCTAGAAAACCACAGTGTGCCACCATACTGTCATTTTAGTAGTTATACTAACAAAACTGTCTTAGTACACTGGACTAGCCCCTCCAGTCCCTAATTTCCCACCCAACACATGTCCTGGTGAAGAACTTAACTGAATTAAGGTCAATATCCCTGGCTTTAGAGTCACACAGATAGAAATTCCAGCAGTATATCCTCCAGTCAGTGAGTATACAAGTCACTAAGCTTCTCAAAGTTACAATTTTCCCATCTGTGAAACGTGAATTGAATCTATATAAAAGGGTTGATTAGAGGAATAAATAAGACAGATAATGTATGCTTTGCACTACCTCGTGCATAGTAATGACCACTACAATGTATTCTTTCATGTTTACTAGAAAAATTATGTGCAGTTCATGTTCTGAAGGCTATAGATCATAAGAAACTATAAAGAACAGAATCAATATTTCCATATGAAATTAGTACAGACACATTATAATTCAAGGTAATACTTAATAGATACTTTGTCTAGAGACAAAATATCTAAAACACAGTTCATTAATAGTGAACTAAACCTAATCACTCTTAAACAAAATGTTAAAAAAATTCAGACGTAAAAGGAATAGATTATTTCATAAACATACTACTTTTAGGAGATACAAATTCCAAACCAAATGCTTCTATATCTTATGTAATTACCTGAAAAAGTTTAAGTTCGGTCTACTTATAAAGTGATTTCAACTTACATTTTTCTCTTATCTAGTCAGTTAGTGTAGTTTACTCTTAAATGGTAGCAACTTCAGATATAAAACTATTTTATCCTGTATAAAAGGTTTAATCTAGAGAAATACAATACAATGGTGTCAATCTAAGATAATAACACTGATAATATGACTCTACTTAAATATCTATTGTGTGGGAGAAAGACGGGG